GGAGACTGGGTCGCATAGGTCCTGCTAGGCTCCCTGGCTGGGGACCTCGGGATGATCGCAACCGATGGTTAGAGACTAAGTGATATGGCTGGGTGACGCAAACAGTGGCTTTCGTGCATCTTCTCAATTTCTTTGCAAACTTAAACCACTGAACTTCTCTGTTCGACTCCTCTTTCAACTTTCTTTTCTTCTCCTATTCTTCGTCCAAATGGGCAACCAAAACCGGTGCACGAATATACATAGCTAATGGTTGTACAAACTAAAAACTGAACTGAATAACCGTATCGTAAATGATGTTATTTAGGCTCTTTAAAGACCAAATTTTCACTTTAAGGTGCCAAAAAGGATCCAATTTATATTTCCGGTCCATGTGAGCCCCGTGCTTGCCATTAAATGTTCAAAAGATATTCACTTCCGTCACGATAATATCCCTACTAATCATCAGTATACATTCGCTGATGATGTCACTACACAATGTTCTATTTGCTTCTACTCCCGCTTTGTCACTGCCAACAGTGATCGCGACCGTCATACCTCTCATCTCTGACTTATATCCACTTTGGGTTCCGAAAAGCGGATAGTTCTCACTGTTTCTGAAACACTGACGACTACTCCCTACCACCCAGCTTTTATGAGATTTCGTCCCCCTACATTCCACAACCTCGTGTATGTATTTATTTATGTATTTCATACACGTATGAATCCAGACAATGTGCTAAATAAATCACAGAACGATAATCTTTATACAAAGGTTCCACGACTTGTTTGTGAGCGGAGTTACCTCCAGGTGGCCCAGGTCAAAGTAGGTGAAGTTTCCTGAGGAATTCAGAACCGGAGCCTTCTGTTAGCCAAAGCCTGGCTCGCAATACAGCGAGACAGAGTTTGAAAACCACATTCATTTGGGGACCGGTGTTCAGTTTATCGGAGCATATGCCTTTCGAATGGGGTCCAACATCTCAGGTACCCAACACCTCGAAGAACAATCGAACCGGTGACCGCCACCACAACCAGGAATGTGAATATTTGTGGTTCGTGTGTCTCTTCTTGGTTGGTTTGGAATCAGGGTTTTTAGTCGACTCCCATGAATGAACTGTCAGCGACCCCTTCATAACCCTGGATGTTGGTCTTTCGTCCTCCTCCTCTGTCACAGAAAGGTAGTGAGTAGGGCTTCCTCAGCAGAGACTATTCGAGGCGCTAGGTCTTATCGGAGGATTGCGTGAGGTGCAGGAAGAGTGGCCAGCCATAACCAACGACACCCGTTCTCACCATACAGAGGCTTTCGTGCTTTCTCTTATCTCCTCCCATTCAGTCTCTCTAGATTTTCTCATGTTCTTTCTTTGCGGCTAGCAATATCATTTTCTTGCCGGGTGCTAAGTGGTTCTGCACTCCATTCCATCTTCTTCCCTATTGTACAAGTTACAGATCTGCCCCACGTCATTTATGGATGAGTGCTTCGTCCTCTACCCTGTTTCGGTTTGACTGTACTCAAGATAAGGTCATTCGCCTACCAGTGACTACGTCCTAACAACTAACTGGCAGTCACTCGCCCATCGGGTGGTTTCTCCTGTCTCTTTTCTTTCTTTTGGGGTGGTGGTGAAACAGTGGTTTAGTCACTGTCACCAAAGTGCTTCGAACCCTATGATCCGAGATTCGAGCCCAGCCGACGCCACCCAACTTTGGTGGTAGGCAATTTTGCTGTCGTCCCGCGAAATACCAAGCCTCATCTAGCGCGGCCTTACGTGGTTCATCACTCTAAGTCCCGGGACTTGGGTTACAGGTTTCCATCACTGATCAGCAGGTCCTCGCGACTACAGGGCTTTCCCCAGCTGCTGTTCATCAAACTAAGGTGTGTTGTCACTACTTTGAATTGCGCCCATCCGAGCTTGCCTCATCGGTACCCATCCGCCATTACCTTCTCCCACCACTCCCAGACCCAGAGTGTCATTCAATGTTGGCTGTCCTCATTCTTTCCCTTGAAATAGCCAAACTATGGAGCACCCTCCTGATACTCCTGTCCGTTTTTGTACCACCTAGAACCACTATTTCTTGGAAAGAACCAAAAAATCAGATCGATCGTAAATGGTCCCTTTTCTAGTATGTATCTCTTTGTATTAGACCCTTTGATCCTTTTGACCCTTTTGACCCTTTTCGTCTAATGAATTAAACAATAATCTTATTGCCCAAAGAAAAAAACGAGCTCAACACGCTNNGTAAGTGATAGGTGTATGTGGTGGTGCTCTTTACATCGAGTAGATTGGCATCATGTTCAGAATCTAGCCCAATTGACATAACAACCACTTCTTCGGTGAGAAGATTGAAACGACTTTTCGAGAAAGCCACGCTATGTCCTATATTGAACTGATAACTCATACTGACGACGAAGGATGTACAAAAGGAAATGAGAACAGATAATGACAAAATATGAGTTCCTATTAAGTGAGACCGGTAAACCACCACCAAGGGGGTTCTCGACCGCGGCGCCAAACTGAGTCTGGGCGACTAATAGGATTAGGCTCTGGTGGCTGGTCTCCCGTGTTTTGTTCAGTTTCAGCATCCTCTGTTGTAGGTGCCGGAGCAATGGTTGCTTTCTGTTCTTCGGTGTAAGCCGCAGTAGCTGATCGAGCACGATGCGCAACCAGATAGCTCCTTGGATGCACCGGAAGGACTCCCGCGATGCCTAGGAGTTCGGCCACTCGCGTGCTGGGTTCCGCCCCACGGGCCAACCAATATGAAATTCGGTCAAGGTTTAGAGCGACCAACTGCTCTCCGTAAATCTTGTTCGGAAAGGGATCCCATGAACCAACTTGTTCGATTCCCTGTTGTTTGGCCTCGGCCAAGTTTGATTTAACCTGGAAAAAAATAAAGAGAAAACAACACAGGTCGGAGGACAGCAAATCGAAAGATGATCACCATATGTACGCCCAGTGGTTTAGTCTAAACTTTTGTTTTAGTTTGTTTCCATGAAACGTAAAGTATGCACGACGGACTAGAGTGAAAGTTTACGCCGGGTTGATTGATATGAACTTCGCCCCATTGCGTATATATATATATATATATATATATATATAGAGAGAGAGAGAGAGAGAGTATTAGGGAATGTCTAACGTTAATGGGAAAGAGTCTGTTTTGAAGCCAGAGAACAAAGTCAACCACTGCGGCCCTTCACGTCAAGATGGATCAATTATTCGGTCACCATGCCAAGACGTGAATGTGGGGCTGAATCACTTTTTTACTACTATTACTATGACGAACAGCAGACCGGGTAAACCCCACAGTCACGAGGACCAGCTGATCAGCGATGGAAACCGGCAACTTAAGCTCCAGGGCTTGGAGTGGTGATATTGAGTGGCGTGATATTGAACCGGAAGACAGCAAAGCTGCATGAGTGGATTCAGTCTAGGCCCTCAATATCCTAGTGAGTAAATTTCAGTGGGG